AATACAGTACGTTGTACAAAATAAAAATCTTACGTATTAAAATTTACATATCGGGTACCTGATATGTGTAAGATAGATCAATGCCCGATATACAATATCAGTGACTAATAGCTTAGCTATCGGGTACCCTATATGTAAAAATACCCGATATTTATCCGATTAGCCACCGATATATAGGTACCCGATATGTACCCGATAGAATTGATTTTGACCAGTGCCTTTAAGATCAACCAATCAGAATTAGTTTATTTAGTCACATTGGTCACATGTTAATGTGTACATGTATATTACGCTATTACGCATATTAGTTTATCTGTGTATTATGCATCACATATATATGTTTTACCTTGAAAAAAAAAAAACTCAGAGAAAAAACTCTAACAAGAAAAAAAAGTTATAATATGGAAGAACAAAATTTTGAATTGAAAGCGTTAATGGAATACAATAGTGCAGAAGAATTTTTTGACAGTGATAGGTATATACTTATAGACTTTAATTAGTCAAAAATAACTTATCTTTACTATCAGTAAACTAATAATACTATAATACTGCTATTATTATATGCTATTAGTGAAGGCACTAGTAATAAATCTAACAAAAGTTGTGAAGTTTCTGAATCAGAAACTTCAGAAACTTTAGGTTCAGGAACCAATTCTTCAGAAATTACTATATATGTCAGTAAAACTTTTCAAAGTTGGGAATATGTTGAAAAATTCATGCAATAATACGCTTCTATTAAAGGACATGGAGTTAGAATTGGTGGCGGTGGAAGAGTGGACAAAGAAACCTGTCAAATATTAAAAAGAACTTATCTTTGCTGGCATGCTGGTGAGTCAAAAGCATCAACTTCTTGTAGGGTAGGTTGTCCATGGAAGCTCAATATATGGGCTAAAAAAGATAAAAATTATCTTGAGGTAACGACTTTCAAAGATCAGCATGTTGGACATAAGCTTAGTCCATTAGCAAGTTGGTTTGTTCTAACATTACAAAAATTATCAGAGGAAATTCTTCAAGAAATACGTTTTTTAACAGTAGTAGCTAAAGTTAATGCAACTGTACAATATAGAATAATCAGGAAAAAGTTTAAAACAAGAATATTTCAAACAGACCTTTATAATGCTATTGATAAGTTTCGTCGTGAAGCAATACCAGGTGAAGAAGACGCAGGAACATTGCTAAAAAGACTTTATGATAAAAAGGATGAAGACCCACGATGGGCAATTACAATGAAACTTGATTCAGCTACCAGTTCATTAACTCATCTTTTTTGGATAACTCCTGAGCAGCTTATGGCTGCATTATCATTACGTAATAATGTATGATAATACGTGCAAAACCAATCATTATAACCGTCCATTGTCTCTTTTTGTTACTCCAGATAATAATCTAAAGACACGAATTGTAGCGCAAGCGATTGTGGATGATGAATCACAATTTTTGTACGAATGGGTTTTTCAATATGTAAAAGAAGCAACAGGTGTTGCACCAAAAGTTTTTGTAACAAATGGCGATCCAGCTGTAAATGCTGCTGTAATAATACAATATCCCAATGCTTTTCATATGCATTGTATTTGGCATATTAGCCAAAATTTGCCAAAGCAATTAAAGGGAAAGTTGGGTTCAACTTATAATGATTTCATAAAAGATTTTTATAAAGCAAGGAATAGTCTAACGGAAGGACAGTTTTATGAAAGGTATTGATTTATGAAAGGTATTGATCACTTTGTTTTGTCTTTTTGTTATATATTGTAATTATACATTTATTCGATAAAGGTGGGATACGTTATCACAAAATTATCCAGAATCTAAAGATTACTTAAACAGATCTTTAGGACAGAATCCACAATCATGGGCTCGTGCATTCACTAATAAATATTTTACTGCTGGTGTGCAATCTACTTTTCGTAGTGAAGGTGAAAATTCAACATTAAAACGACTTTTTAGAAATTCAAGTCTTTCGTTATGTGAATTGTTTGATGCATTAGAAGAGAGGTATCAAGAGGAGAATGATTATTGTAATTTTGTTAGTTGGAAGAAGTCTGTACCACAAATCAGTCCAAAAAATGTGTTTAAATCCATTTTCGGACTTGTTGTAAAACAACTAACCGAATTCGTCTCCCCAAATATTATAAAAAAACAGGAAGAATAAATGGACTTAAGTCTTTGTTATCATGCTGTACAAATTGTATTGAAAAATGCACATCCTAGAGAAAAGGTAAATAATACTCAAAGTCATAAATATCACTAAAGGTTAATATCAAAAAAATCTTTAGTTACCAAATTTCTTTTCGTAGGAGTTTGTTGAGTCAGAGCATTGCATTGATAATTTGTTTGACTGTTCATAAGCACAATTGAGTTTATTTCTTGTAAATATTTCCCAAGTTTTTGAAATTTGGGAGGTTAACCATTTGGTTAACCCAAATACATCTCATTTCATATGCCTTTTAGATAATAGTACATTTCTTTGTACGTGTATGGCTTTTAAGACACTTGGATACCCCTGCCATCATTTTTATCGTGTGATGACTTTAACACTTATTGCAAGATTTCATATCAGTCTTATTAATAACCGTTGGTACAAAGAGTCATTACAAGGAAAAAATATATCAAGTTATGAATTTGTCATCATTTCAAATTTACTACCAAGAGAGAACCATATACTTCCATCACAATTTCTGAGCCCTGATTCTATAGATGCTATCCAAATGGAATCATCTCAAATAGGAGATATCGAAGTTTCAAAAGTTATCTCAAAAAAACGTAAATTTGGTGAACTTTTTGGCTTAGGAAGGAAAATAATATCAGATGTAATCAAGGATGGTGACGAAGAAACTTATAATGAAGTTCTTAATTTTCTTTAATCAATTCAGCAAAGAAGGCAGAGAATTTTTCATAATAATAACAATGTTAATGTTAATATTGTGGGAATTCAAAATCCTGTTGCTTGAATTCCAAAAGGTCGTCCCAAATTAAAAAGTACAAAGGGTGCTTTAGAAGAATCCAGTAATAAGAGTCAATATAGTTGTAAAATATGTAAACAATTGGGCCATAATAGGACCCCGAATAATACTAATATAGCTCACAAATGATCGGCATGCATTTACAATTAACTTTACGCAACTTTTTTTTCATAGTAACGCTACGCAAATCCAAATCTTAGTTCAAAAAAATTTTTGTTACTAATATAATTCATTTCACATTTTTTCTATTAAAATATTAATAAAATCATGCAAACCTCACCATTTTATATTAAAATAGTGTGTTTCGCAC